ATATTACATGGAAATATATGACCGTTAGGTATCACAAAGCCATGGTGCGTCAGAGAGAGTTGATCACAGTATATCACAGTGCGCAGTAACACTTCGAACAAATTGGTTTCAGACATTAACACTTAAAAATAAAAATAAAGATTCAAAAAATCTCGCACATATAGGGCACCGATAAACAATACATGCTAAAAAGTTCTTAGAATAAATGTCGATAGCAAGAAAATGAAGAGACTTCGAGAAGACGGAGGCATACACCAAAAAAAATCAAGCAAGAAACATCAGACCGGACAAAAAATATATATAAACCAACCGCATAACATAGGTCGTCACAATCCTACAATGCTACGCTATGCACCTACAAATAATGCAGATGAAGAGAAGAAGGAGGAATTCTACAAACAAATGCAATCAGCACTGGACGAGACTCCATCTCAGTTGGCGACATCAACATTCTAATGGGTGGGCTGACATGAATGGGAAACTGGGAGAGGAAAACATAGGAAGAGAACTAGCCATGGGTCGAGAAGCACTCGGTGAAATGATGAGTGAGAATGGAGAACTGTTTGTAGAATTCTGTGCATTCAACGATTTGATGATTGGAGTCAGGCAGTGTGTTCAAACACAAGGATATTCATAAGGCAGTGACATGGATTTAATTTCACCAGATGGACACACTAAAAATCAGATCGACTTCATTTCGATGTGAAGAAGGTGGAGAAGCAGTCTACTGGACACAAGATGAGATCAAGAAGGGAGTAGATATAGGTTCACACCAGTCACTGTCTAGTGCAAGGAGGAACCCACCCTCAAAATCAAGTTGAAAGCCTTCGACGAAGAAGTTGGTGATAGACTACAGTTCAAGTTGAACACCCAGAACAGACACTGAAGGACGAAACTACTGAGGACATCTTCACGTCAGCCATCAAGACAAAATGGGAGATATCGAGCAACATCCACGAAGAAACCTGTGTGGATGAACACTGGAAGTCTTTGAAAGCTATGTGGAAAGAAACCTGCACAACCGTATTAGGAGGGAAGAAGAAAGAAGACAGGACAAGGATTGGATCTCGATGGACACATGGAAGCTGAAAGAGAAGGGAGAGAAAGATGGCGAAGCAGAAGACAAACCAGTGAAAGGATGAACGACGAGAAGAGGAACTGAGTACAACGTATAAAACACTGGACAAAGAAGTAAAGAAAAGTGCGCGCAAAGATAAAAGACACTTCTACCACACATTGGCAAGTGAAGCAGAGCAGGCTGCTGGTAGGAGAGACCTGACAACATTTTATCAAATAACCAGGTTACTATCTCGGAGGGAAGAGATCAACACTCATGAAACGAATAAAAGATGGTGAAGGAAATTTAATTACCAAAAAAGAGAAACTAAGGAAACGATGGGCTGACCACTTCAAAAGGCTCTTGAATCGACCACCACCTGCAAAGCGTCCAGGAATACCACCTGCAGTCACAGAACTTCCAGTGAACACAAATCCTCCAACAAAAGCAGAAGTTCTGAACGCCAAAAAGCTACTGAAATGCGGGAAGGCAGCAGGACTAGATGGAATCCTGCCAGAAGCACTGAGGACAGACACGGGGACAACAGCAGACATGCGCACACTACTACTACAGAAGGTCTGGAAGGAAAAGAAGGTACCTGGCGATTGGAAGAAAGGTTATCTTATTAAACTCCCGAATAGGGGCCACCTAAGTGTTTGCGTGAACTGGCGCGGAATCATGCTCCACTCCTGTTCACCCGAAACAGTATACTAAGCTGCATCATCCTGAAGAGACTAAACGATGCGCTGGATTCAAAACTACGACCGGAACAGGCTGGATTCAGGAAGAACAAATCATGTGTGGATCAAATTGCAACGCTTAGCATCATCATAGAACAGAGTATAGAATGGCAGTCAACCCTCTACCGCAATTCATCGACTTTGAAAAGGCCGTCGACAGCGTCGACCGAGAAGTAATTTGACAGGCAGTTGCTTCGACACCACGAAATACCACAAGCCTTTATCAATCTCATTCAACAACTATATGAATACGCCATGTGCAAAGTAATTCACAATGGGAAGCTCAGTGATGCCTTTGAAGTGAAGACAGGAGTAAGACAAGGCTGTTTACGATCACTCATGATCTTTCTGATTGCGGTGGTCTGGATCATGCAGTGAACAGTAAGGAGCGAGAAGAGAGGGGTTACGCTGAACCGGGGAAAAGATCCTAGAAGATTTCGATTTCGCCGATGACTTATGTCTAGTGTCACACAAACTTGAAGATCTACAAGC